GATCTTCAGCTGGTAAAACCTGGTTTACACCTGGTCTAGACCATAGATGGAGCAACTGCGGCTTGGTTAATAGTGCAAACGACAAGTGTACACAGGCATCGAACGTAGCTTTCAGTTTTCATTTCCATCGCAACAGCTGCTTCGAATCCATCGTGACCATTGACCAAACGTTACCTCGCTATCGCCGGTTATTAATGAGTTTCATTGAGAACTGGCTTTCGAACCCAGAGAAACGTCCTATTCACGGCGGAGAACGAGGCTTAATAAGCGTTCTCAAGGTAGCGCACCTTTCTTTCTTTCGATCAGATAAATCGCGGGTAAATAGTGTCGCGGTAGGGGACTTAGGAGCGGATTCGAGGTATCGATCGATAGATCAGGGGAGTGCAACGTGTACGTTCCGCCTAGGTGTGTATATACCTGTTTCGCCTGGAATCGACTCAGCGTGGCGACTATCAAGGCCAGTCACTCGATTACCCGCGTTTCTTCTACGCCCAACGCTCAAACGACACACGAGAGCCTCTCCTCCGTCGCGTAATGTACTGCCGACATTAGTTTACGTCGGCTCTTTTTACCGTAGGCTTCGACAACACCTGCCCGTTCGATCCGGTAAGAAAGAGAGAGGAAAAGAAAACGTCCGCGATGGTGAAAAAGAATCCTTTACGCTAGCGCGAAACCAGGTAAGTAGTCAACGACCGCAGGTGTGTGTAGCTTCCTTTGATTTTTCGTTCGACTGATTTAGCGCTGAGCTGGTAAATTTATCGCGGAAGGAATTTTTCGAAATTTAGTAGTCGGTTCTGAGATTCGGTTTGTCGAAGAATCTTCTGCGGTGCCTTGCTGTTAGATCGATTAACTCGCATATTTGAGGAAAATGTAACAGCTCAACTAATTGCTAGGTCTTTACTTTTTAAATCATTTCTTAAATGAAATGTTTCAACTTGGACTAATTTAGCGCTGGACCTGGTAAATTTATATAAATTTTCGAAATTTAATAGCCGATCCTGAGGTTGAGAGTATATTTTCCTCAAATATAACAGCTTAAATCGCAGAACCATTTGCTTCATCTTCTCGGCCCCGTCGTCACGATTTAATTTCTCGGTTAAAATGTTCCAAATGAATTCTGCTTCGTTCGCGATCAAATATGATAGCCTAGCCTTCCTAAGTAATTCTTTCCCCGATCCATAAAGCTATTTGCATAGACTAAACGAGAGGCGGGGTAAAAAATCTGGAATAATCTGCGGTTATCGAGATCCAGCACAGGTGATTAACAAAGTGGACACGAGCATCTTATCGACGAGACAAATTGCACCGCGTGCAGGTGTGTCTTCAAGCGACATGCGTATGCATCGAGTTTCTGTTCTCGATCAGCCAAGGAAAACATGCAAATTATGATAAATGTCTGTCCTCCTGTGACGACTGTAAAACGTATCCTAAATCCTTCTTCTCAGATCACCACGTTCTACTACCATAGTAAAATCGTACGTGTTACTGTACGCGGAGGTTGTGCTCAGAGTGGCTCTCCTGCCTAACGACATCGTTAAGTTTATCGCAACATTTGACTTCATTAAAGCCAGCAAATATAAATTACCTGCCGGTCGATTCCACCGTGTGGAATATTCTATTTTCCCCGTGTGCGAGCGCGTGGAATGAAAATTACGCGGGGAACGTAAAGTGGGCGGTCCCGTAAACGCAAGAACGAGTTCACGGGTAGGCCAAATAAACGAGAGCAGAGAGCGGTGCGCTCTCTTGCAAAAACCTATGGCCTTCGAGGCCGCGAATCCACTCCATTTTGTGTATTCCTCAATTCAAATTCTCCGGGGTTACTCCATAAGCGGAGGAGAGCTCCCCCCCGTCGACGTCCAGGTACTTCGCGCAGAGCAGACGATCCTTGGACACTTGATCGAGTACCCTTTCGTTTCGACCTTTTCCAGGATAAAAAAGAAACACTCGTTTGTTGTGTCTAAATTAAAACGGTTCTCCGTAGCAGTTAGAGCAGTTAACTACGGTCTTAAGAATTGGTCCACTTAAAGTGTAAAAAAGAATTTCACGTTGTTCTAATGGTTGCACAAGCTGGTGGTGTAGCCTCTCCTGTTCTCCAATCTTCGCTCGCGATCTTACGAAAACGCGCGCTAATTAGCGGCGCGAGCTGGCGAGCGCGTGCACAAAGACACAGATACGCGTCAGGTGAAAAAGGAAAATCGCGTGGGCGTCCCCGTGCCAGAGAAGCGTGAAAGAGCGCGAACCAGCACAGGGGGAGATAGTATTTAAAAGCAATGTACACACACACAAGAAAGAGAGAAGTGCCAAGGACTTTTCCTCTTCCCCGTCCACTTTCTAACGACAATCACTTTTATGTAACGGCCATTAATTCGTCCCTTTTTTATTACAACAAACGGTAAATAATACAAATCCGGCGACGGTGCAACGTTCACGAAAATGATCTTTTCTTAGGATACGAATAGCTCAGCCACGACAGGATCGTTACGTATTGCAGGGATCATCCATTCACTCTTTCTCTCTCTCTCTCTCTCTCTCTCTCTTTCTGTTCCACACATACACGCATACATAACACATTCTTAGGGGTTATTACACGCATACCCCAGACAATAGGGGATGATACACGTACAGCCTTTTCGGATTTCTCCGACCAGGGACTAGAGGACTCTTTGGCGATCGACCGGTTCTACAGGCTGCGTATTTCCGAGTTTTTCCACTTTTTTCCGGCAACACTTCTTCACCCCTCACACACCGCTCGGATAACATTTCTCACGTTCCTCACCGTCGTTTGAAGTTTGCGGGATTTTTACAGACAGAGGAACCTGCACACGTGCTTCCTCTCGAGGTTTGTTACAAAGAATCGAGAGGTAGATAAGACATCCGGGCGAAAAAGGGGGTTGGTTTTGCTTGGACTAGCCCTGGACGCGGTCGTCGGCTTGCTTCGACGAAAGCATCGAGCCTTGCTGCATTGTTATCTCTGTCGAGTATCATCGTTCGTAGGATCTTGGTCGATTTTAAATATACACACCTTACTTCTCTGAAAATGACTTTTTTTTTTAATGGAATTCTCTATTTTTCTCACGGCGAGCAAAGATCTCGATGGTAAAATTTGCTAGGTGAACAACTAGAAATTTGAACGTTTCCTTTTTCCTTTCTTTCGCGAGGTTTTTCAACAAGGCTCGATTGATTCGTCCATTAAATAATTGTTCCCGTCGTTTACAGGTTTTACACTACACAGAGCACACGAAATCGTACATTGTCACACAATCGTACACGGGTTTCCAAGATACGAAAATAAAGGGTCGATCTTTGATTGGCGAGGGTGAATTAATTTACTGTACAAAACAAACAAGAAAAAAAGAAGAAGACGGTCGTCGGGACAAGTTCCTTTTCTTCCGTCGATTCTCACAGAACCAACCTAACGTGACACCTATTTATAATAACATATTTCCTTTTATACACGTGTATAATAAATAAATCCGTTCGGAGGATCGCAGGCAGCTTCTCTGCGATCTCGAATAACCGAGGCAACGAAACACGAAACAGAATAATTAGATCGATAATTTTTTTTTATAATCCTAAACAAGTATATATATATACAAAATTCAACTTCTACGCATTTTCATGCAGTTCTCCTACCGATAAACGAAACATTGTTCTTTTTCTTTTTTTTTCCCTTTTCTTTTTGGCACTTCGTTTAGTTAACACGATAACGATACAACGTTTCAAGGCTATCGACAATCGATAGGTCGCGACGTACAAACCGTGTATTATACGTCTCTCTTCCGTCTTTTGCTTCTCTCGATCGTAGCAAACCATCCTCTCGTCTTTTTTTTTTCTTTTTTTTCTTCTGTTTTCTCTCTCCAATTCTGCTTTCCGTACGAAACGGCACGCGAAGCAGCAGAGTCTCTCACATTCACCCAAAGCCACACATACGCGGAGGTTCAAGGACCGTTCGCATGACCCAATTGAACCCAAAGAGAAAAAGAGGAACGAGAGAACAGGGGAGAAACGAGGGGGGAATGGAAATGATCGTTCCCGATTGGAAGAGCAAACGGAAGTCGACATTAGTTCGCGCGTCGAAACGGATGTTCGAGATCCGACCGATAGCCAGCTACCTCATCCCAGGCCTTCTAAGCTAGATGATTATTTACAACTGGCCGTCGCTG